GGATGAAAACGTTTATTATATTTGAAGCACAATTAACGTGTTGCGCATATAAGTTAAACAACGGTAACAATGGGATAAGAGTTTCTGTGATTTAAAGCAGTTGGGCTATTTGCTATTTTTGAAGACCTCGTAGTTCACCCGTTAAGCATTTGCATTGGAGCTTCCGCCAGAGTGGCCGATAGCAGAACCACCGTCCGAGAGGTCGGTCGCAGAACATCTGCCCGAGCGGCCGACCCCAGGACACAGACGGAATGTGGCTTTCAGACTGGCAGACGAATTGTTTGGTACTATACTAAGAACGGACGTGTCTGATTTGAGTTTGAGCGTGAGCTGGAGCTTTGTATCCACTAAAGGGTGAAAAGAGATGCATTATCAGCCTGCGGTGAATCGTTCACAAATATGCACAAACACCAAAGTACACCACTATACCTGCAATAATGCAGAAGCAGGGCGACCAATGATGGCAGAATTTATCATTATATCTCTCCACCCTTGTTTCAGTTGGCTGACCATCTGGAGCCTGCTGTATAATAATCATGTACTAAATGGTAAAAAAACGGTAGTTGAGTCGACAGTAACATTAAGTTATATTACAGGGACAAGTATGCATAGCGCGTCAGAGCGTTTTAAGGATTGCGCAAAAGACGAAATCGTTCGCTTACAATCGGGTAAATTGGAAACTGTAAATCGCCTTGATAATAGTCTTCAGTGACCGGAAAGCCCAGGCTGTGACGGTATATGCTATGTGTAGCGCCATGCTCGTCAAAAAACCGCATTTCCTGTAAGTTTTGTTGGAACGCCTTTGGCATAAAAAAATCCACGATTGATGCCACTGAAATGCACACATAACGTAGCGGTCGTTGGCCAAAGATCTACTGAGTGGTTTTGAACATGTTTACTTAGTGTCAGTCATTCTGTATTGGAAATAAGGTTGGAACTAAACTCACCGGACTCCGTGTAGCACTGTGCAGTACGTGTTGACCCGCATGGAGTTACGGATTCTGAGCCAAACTTGATTTGCTGAATGAGGTGTGTTAGTACAAAAAAGGGTGCTGCCTACATGTGCTTTGAAGTTAAATTCAAGTGGATAGGTGAACTCCTCGTCTGACGGCATGAAAACGTCAAACATAATGGGATTGGTCTGAGTGTATCCTATATGACAGAGAGAAACTGTTTACTGAAAAGTGAATGGAAACGGGGACAGAGCAATCAGGCAAACAACTGCAGCAGGGGCTTACTGAGAATCAGCAGCAAGAGGAAAATCCTCGGAGTCACCATGTTCTATCTGAATAAAAACATACCATAGATAGACATACGCATTCCAAATTGTCACACAAAATGCAAAATGCAAAAACCCAGAACAATCTGGTTGGCAGACATTACTGAGATAGAGCTCCAGCAAACCCAGGACCTCCTTCTAGAGAACGGATATTCGGACAGATTCAGCATAAAGTATACGCTGGAGAGGGAAACAAAACCCACAACATCCACTGTGGAAAAGAGGACCCTATTAATCAAAGTCCACTTCAAGGGGATGCGGCAAGCTAACTCCTAAACATATGCCTCAACCAAGCCGTATCACGGACCTTCTCAGCAGCGAACGGTCGGCTGTTATTCTCAACCAACCCAGTCCTGCAGGGCGAAGGTAAATAAAGGCTGCCAGCTTAGAGCACTTCTATGTGCATTTACTCATTAACTTGCTCCTTTGGAGCAGCTTATATCGGTCGCACGAGTTGGCGCCAATGCAAATGAACACGGGACCACCTCCCTGATAGGTTGAACAAAGGCAACATTAGAAGCATCAACAGAGCCAGCCTTGCTCATTTCGGTGACTCCAGAAATCGTGTGGTCCCCAACGAAACCTTTAAGGTAATTTATATGGACCCGCCAAACTACCCAAATTCCCTGGGCCAGCGTTTGCTAGCAACAGCACAAACAATCGTGATCCGGTTGAGAAAGCCAGTTTTGTGCGCACAAAAGAACCTTCTGCAAGCCTCGAGCTTGGCATGGCCAACGGTTACATAACTGCCTGAACTTTCTGCGCTTCCTCCCTCCCCCTATCCTTATTCGACAAAACCCTCAATGCCTCTTAACCAGCCGAGTACTCTTAAACTCCAGTTCACACACCTCAATTATTCCCGGGACTTACTTGCATGTAATTATGAACTTAAAAGCTCACATGTTATCATTTACCGCCTCTCTCTATAAATGTAAAGGCCCGAGGAGAATTTTTGAAAAGCTTCGTATGCTCATCAAATACTCGTCAAAATAATAACGGTTTAAGGTGCAAAAATTCTTATGAACGCGTATAAATGTATATACCTAGTTACTACATTTGGTACAAGAACCGGTAGATCCAAATACGCATCCTCTACGTTTAGACTCTCAAGAATTTGGCTAGATAATTAAATCGCCATCGCCCGCGAAAGTTATATTCTGTAAAATGACTACTTACGTGGCATGCATTTTCATCATGCTTTTCACTGGCCCTTTAAATTCAAATACAATTTGTGGAGCAGATAAAAAAACAAAAGCTAACATTTACCCTTTTTGTTGGCATATTACAACTCCTTCAATTTTTTTATACTTCAAGAAGAAAAGTTTTAGCTTGCCGAATAAATTTGAACCCTACCGACCGTTACGTTTGAATCCAAAGCCTCCCAAGCATATGCTGCGTATATTCTCTCCAAGGAAAGGTAAATATTTTCTTAGCGTTTGAGGAATAAATGGCATATTTCCCCTACAATTTCATAACGCATGTTAACCAAATTGTATAATTTGTAAGCAGCAGTATAACCTTTAAAAATGTCTAGCTTATTAAGTGCGCCTTTTCCCGTCAAAAAGCACCCATAATTTAAAAAAAGCTTTTAAATGACAGATATCCTGTCTTAACATAAACCATTTCAAGAAGACGTAATTGGTTAACAAACAAGTGCAACAAAAACCATGTGTTTTCCGTATAATAGAAAAATATCAGTGAAAGGATATATACCACTTACGTAGCCAGTCTTTACTGAGTATGTGTCAACCAGGTGGTTAGTATGATTGCTATCCAAAAGCTGACAATAATTACATAAAAAGTATAATTTAGAAGGCTAAAAGAAGATCATTATTGCACCCATACTTAAAGTACGGCCTAGGATTCAGGCAACAGGCCGACAGCTGCTCTGAGTAACGTTGTAATAATAACTATCGTGAAGTCTGTTATGAAGTAATTCCGGTCACGATAGGATGCCGGATTTTTAACGAACTTCTTTCTGACCGCTAACAAATCGTATGTACATACTGTAACAGGTAGCTACTTACAATAGACGCCACGGATCACGCAACATTCGACATAGGCGAATGATTGATACTCTTTCGCTAATCGGTATTGACTCAGGTTGTGATATTGATTATCGTGTACTCTATTCTGAAGTTTATTCCGTCGTGATAGGATGCTGGCTTTTTAAATAGCTTCGTTCTGACTACCAGCAAAGAGTATCTATTGTAAAAACTGGCTACTTAATTAGTATGCCTTTTTATCATTGATTTTGATTGCCTTTACAAAGTCAAATATATTTTTTGGAAAACATGGACGAAAAAATGATTTATTGAACTCCCTTAATAGAAAATTAAGTCTTCTTTAAATTTTGTACTCAAAGAAAGGGTAGATTTCGGTAATAAAAGTTGCTCCATAGCCGAATAATTTTCTAACCTAGTGACTGCTACACTAGAATTCAAGGTTCAAACACTGCGCACTGTGTACATCCTGTTTATAGAAAAGTACGTTTTTGCTAAGTGTTTGAGGGAGAACTCACATAGTTGTCATAAAATATTAAAAAAGATGTGGAAAATATTTTATGCAGTAAAGGCAGCATTAATAAGTTTGCGGATACGATGTATTATGAATAAACACTTCACAATTGTAAAAAGGTTCATAATTAACAACTTTTTATAACCGAAATCTACCCTTTCTTTGAGTACAAAATTTAAATAAGACTTAATTTTCTATCAAAGGAGTTCAATAAATCATTTTTTCGTCCATGTTTTCCAAAAAATATATTTGACTTTGTAAAGGCAATCAAAATCAATGATAAAAAGGCATACTAATTAAGTAGCCAGTTTTTACAATA